CCCGATTAGAGCCACACTCGCAAGTTTTTGACAATATAGCTTATAGGTTGGTGCTTCGAGTCGCATGACACACAAGGTATTTCATGGTTATTATTACACATTATACTTGCACTTATCCTGTGAGGCATCATATTCATCACCTGTCCCAGTATCTGGTACTGCGTTTTCGATTGCAGTTTGCACCCGAATTTCCCGTAGACCAGCACCTTCTCGCCTCCATCATAGGATTATCTTTCCAGTATACCAACAGGCCAAACAAGCTTTTTGTATTGTTTACGAACTTGGTGTCACCTCACATGAGCCTGAAATTAATTATATGCAGAATGAACTTTTGATTCACATTATCAAGAGACCAAAGGAGAAGAGAAAACATGAAAAGCAACTTTGGGAACTTATTGTCAAGAGACATCAGAAGCAGCTATTAAGAATCATTCTTGCAGGTTTCAATAACCCTATAAATAGAGATAATTGATGTAAAGTACCTGAATTTTCAGGATTCGATTTCTTAACTTCAAAAACTCATTGCTTCCTTTCCAGCCACGATACTTGTGTTGGATCTCTGAAGCAGCAGTGTGCCACTAGTCTCCGAAATGACTCATCTTTTGATGTCTATTGCAAGACCCAAGAATACCAAATTCAAGTGATACTGCGGACATATCATCGTTGCCTTTAGTCGATTGTCTGAAATGGGATGACCGGCCCTGGAAACTGCTTGAATTAGAGCTGCTGCATGAGCTAGCTGATTTTCTAACAGCAACAAGGGACCCTTTCAATGTGAAATTCTCATCTAATGCCCCATCAGACCGAGCAACTCGGGAAGCAGCCTTTATGGCCTCTTGTGCCGCCGTAGTTGCTGCATTGTTATCTACCACATTTTGGTTAACGGTCACCGAAGAAAGACGGGTAAGCAATAACTGTTTCTTCTCTGCAAAAAATCAATACAAAGCTGTCAAAACCATTATTTTATAATCATTTGTCATCCAGAATCTGTGGACCTTTGCCATCTTCGTGAACTTTGTTTTGTTTATCAGACACTCAAAAAGCTTTTGCTTTAGCAAATAAAGAATCAAACCCTCTTTAGATTATATTCAATCATTTGCACTTCCCATTCCCGTTGAACATATGTTATTTTTCAACCTACACTTATCACATTCCTCAACTGAACAACCCAACGACTTTCTCCCTCAGACAATATGGAACAATTTCGCCAAATGAACTAGCAAGTTCATTTCCTCTTGTGCTGTACTTTTAACAGCCATTGCTGCAGGTGATATAAAATGGAACACGTCTGAGAAGAAACTCGACAACGAATAACATTGCTCGTCAAAACCTCAGCAGAAACTTCAATTTCGCCAAATATACAGCCCCATTTAGCTGCACCAGAAAGCTCTTTGTTATGCAAAAGATTTTCCAACAAGTAAGCATTCATGGATAAGCACGATTTCATGAAGACGAACGATGTTTTCAAGGAACATTACATGCAAAATCATATTTATACCTTTGTTCCAACACCTGAATAAGCCGAGTCAGGTGAGAAATCGACGATGCTAAATAACTGTTCATGAGAAGAGAATATTTACGTTGAAAAAGTTATGCGTTTGCCGAGAGTGGAACACATGTCTATTGCTTGGAAGGCAGTTATCCTAACTGCTTGATAGCTTGTACCATATAATTCTTTATCGAAGTATGAAATGCGTAGTTAAGAATGGTAAATAACACTGGTTTATTGCTATCACCATCACCATATTATCCTATCGACTTGTCTCTAATATGAACAGTTAGGGTAAGTACGTGTATAAACCAAAATGTGAATTTTTTTTAATAGTTATTTATTTTATTGGTGATATTTATTTTAAAATTTATTTTATTTATAGTATAAAAAATTTTATATTATTAATATATGTGTCTACTTTAAAATACACTTTTAGATTTGTCACTGTCTAGAAAGAAATATAATTATTGGATTCTTTCTTCTCCAAGATTCAACGTACATTCACAAAAAAATATTTTTGAATTCGTCGCTCGTTTTATTGTTTGAAATAGAGACATAGCATCAGTAAATGGATAGTTCCCAGGAAAGAAAGGAATGGCCGGAGAAACTGGTGACTGTGATGTAGTGATGGTAATAATGAAGATTTGTGATTCAAATTTTATTTGGAGAGTGAAGACGTGAAGGTGCTAGTGAGGATTAGAGATTTTAATATTTTCTTAATTTAATCATGACATATATATTAATAAAATAATAATACAAAATAGCACATATAAAAAAAATATTAATAAAATAAATCAAAGTGTCTTAAATAAGATGAATTCTAAAATTGAATGATTAAATTAAAAACATTTAAGTTTTAGTGATCAAAATAAAAGTGAGAAGATAATGTGCTATGAATGGTGTAATTTACCTTAATATTATATATATATATATATTTTGTTGTTCAAGTTTGAATATGACTTGAGATGTGGTTCAATTTTTACCCAAACTCACACATATTATGTTATTTTTGTTTAGTATTTAATAATTATATTTTATGTTTTTTTTAAATATAACAAGTTTTTAATATTTATACTAAGTATTATAGATTTGAGCTTGAATTACAATACATATCAAAATTTAAGAAAATGATGCATTAATTAAAAACAGAAAATAAAGAAAATAGATCGAATATGGTTGATTTTATGTATTGAATTGAAATCTGAAACAATTTTTCTTTTTTTTAAAAAAAAAACTAAATATTAGATGAAACTTTAGATTTGAACACGTTTTGTTCTTCAACTATCACTTCTGTTCTAGTTTGATCTTTCAATTTTTTTTTTAATTATAGATAATGTTTAGTTTTAGTTTCATTTTGATCATCCTCTATTAAATATTAACAATGATGTAGACGTGTCACCGTAAGATAATGATACATCATCATTAAAAAATAAAAATATCACACCAGCAGTTCTGTTAATTTTTTAACAATAGGACTAAAATGAAACAAAAATATAACGTTAAGTATGATTTTAAAAAAATGGATAATCAAAACGGAACAAAAGTGATAGTTTGGATACTAAACATATAATTTATCCATAACCCAAACAAAAATGTAATCATTTGCCAAGGAATAACGGATTGCGGAGCCAGCAAACATGGTGGTATATTCATTCAACAAGCAAGAACGGATGCTTGTCGATTCATCAGAACAATCTTAACTATAAGCGAAGGATTAAGACTCGAATCCTCCAAAAAATCTCTTTTTACGTTTGGAATCTCTTTCTCTCTCTCCTTTTACTCTATATATATATATATAGCAAACCATGTTTGATACTATTAAGCCTTGTCTAAAACTTCTTTCATGCCCAAAATTTATCCCCATGGCCATGGCTTCTCACGTATCCGACAACCTACAAGGTATCTATCCGTACATATTTTTGCCTATGATCTTTCCGCATACATACATAAATACATACATATTGGTGTTGTTGTTAATGAAATTAGAGTTAAATTTGCAGAAGTTGAAAGATCTATATCAGAAGCAGCTCCTTGTCATTACGTTCTAAAGATACAGTCATTTTCATTACTTGCGAAGAACGGCATCGAAAAATATGAATCTGCAGAATTCCAAGCTAGTGGCTACAAATGGTACTATTGGCTGAATTAATGAATTATGGCATTTATTTGTTTATATGGTAATTGATAAGCTTAGCCTGTCATTTTTCCGTGCGCTCTCACAGGAAGCTGATACTGTATCCGAATGGGAACCGAAGCCGAAATGTGAAAGAGCACCTTTCTCTCTACTTGGTTTTCTCCGATGTCGGTTCGCTCTTCCGACAGGGTTTGGAGGTCCATGCCGTTTTTCGGTTTTTCTTGCTTGATCAGAGCAAGGATGAGTACTTGGTAGTTCATGGTATTTTAATTCCATGCTGCTTTTCTTCGTCATTTCAACTTTTGAATGTACGTACGTATGCATGTAAGGAAGCTGTGGATTTGATTTTGTTATTGTCATGTGGTGCCTATAGATGCCAAGGAGAACAATAGGAGGTTTCACAGATTGAAGCATCAATGGGGATTTGATCAGCTCATCCCGATTCGAACGTTTAACGATGTCTCGAACGGATACCTACTCGACGACACTTGCATATTCGGAGCTGAAGTGTTCATCACCAAGGAAACAAGACCAGGACGAGCCGAATGCTTGTCTGTGGTAAAAGATGCCATTAGTATCAAGCATGTCTGGAGGATTGAAAACTTTTCCAAATTAGATTCAGAATTATTGGAATCAAATGTGTTCATTTCTGGTGATCAGAAATGGTATGGCATCCATTAATACGAATACGAATACGAATATGGTACATTTTCAGGGTCTACTGCTGTATGACATTCTGGAAATGCAGGAAAATACAGCTTTATCCGAAAGGAAGACGACATGGATCTGGCACTCATATCTCTCTGTATTTGGCTTTGGATGATTCATCCACTCTTACGGATGATTCAAAAATATTCGCGGAGTTCACTTTGCGTATCCAGGATCAGCTGCAGAGTAGGCACATTGCCGGAAAAGGTACAAAAACCGAAACGAATAGCCTAATAACAATCATTTTCATCAAGTATATCATACCAGAATCACAAAATTCCTGTTTGTGTTGCAGTTAATCACTGGTTTAGTGAGTCAAGCCAGGAAAGTGGTTGGGCGAAATTCGTTTCGTTGCCGTATTTCCACCATACTGGCACCGGCTGCCTGGTGAAGGATATCTGTGTAGTGGAAGCAGAGGTGATCGTTCACGCGGTTGCTAGTGCATTGTAGATATAATGATTACAAGATCGATTTCGTATCGAAACAGATTACGACAAGACAATATGTTGTGTACTTTTTGATGGAATTACTTAGAATTTACAACATGCCTTGTCATTGTAATACAAAACTTGGACAATGTATATTGATTTGGATGATTTTTACATGCAAAACCTCTCTTTATTAATAAATCAGGGAGATAGAGCAGCAGCAGAGACATATCTGTCTCTACCTCCTTTGGAAGTTCAATTTTCCAGTAAAAAAGGTGAAAAGAGAAGCCAATGCAACGGGGAAGATGATGAGAACAAAGGCAAGCGGACCTAGATACTTATGATGATAACCAAAATAATCTTCTATGAAAGCAGAAACCGTCATGGTTTCTCCGAAAGCCTGTATTTCTTTATCGATATCTTCATACTGCGACACGAATATGGCATTCAGCAACCAAGACGTGGGGGAAAAGTAGCATAGCCAGACCCACCAACTCGGCATTTTCTGCAAGAGGCCATCAGTTTTGATTTTATTTCCCGGTTTATGCTTAAACATGTCGAATGCAGCGAATAGTCATAGCTTACTGGTACTGGCAGGTAATACCCAGAGAACAAATTCATGGTGGAGGTAGCAAATGAGCCCAAAATGAAAGCCACTTGAACGTTGGGTGTTACTGACACTGTTATCATTCCTAAGTGGGTGAAGCATAGCTCTGAACACCATATTGTGTAAAATGACCATAATACTTTATTGGCTGACCAGTAGTAACCGATCATTGGATATGTGATGATCACGTATAGAAGCGCCGAAGTAAGCATGTATGGGATCTCAACTATGACCTGCAAAATTGATCGAAACCGAGTCGTTTGCAAAACAAAAATGACATTTTGTACCATAATTGTCTGTCTACTATGGTTATTTCATTGGTGCTTGATTTTGAACCAGATAACTTCTGAGGGAAGTTTAAACCTGTGCAAATGAGTATGCCCACAGAGTGTACATTCCTGCAAACATTTCCCGGTACATAACTGATCTCTGGATCGAAACGAATGGTATAACCGATGAGCTACTGTTTATGCCGAAGAATATGGATGCGTACATCACACCAAGTGCATTAAACAGGTCATGTTGGTTTTTGATAACTGTCGTTTTGATGTCAAAATAAATTCTTCTTCTCAATTATATATAAGAAAGAAATACGTAGTAAAGAGAAGTAAAATTGATCCACATAGACTTAGAAAATTCTCAAATTAAGGTTTGAATTACCTTGATCAGGCGAAATGCAGTAGATAAAGGGGAGTTTTGGTAAAAAAATTAAATAATAAAAAGCAATTTAAAGTAAAAATAAAGAAAATATATAATGTAAAGTTGAAAATAAATATGGTAAAAACATCCTCAAGCCTCGCTTTGACTCAATTTCCTTCGGATCATTGAATTAGATTTTCCCTTCGGGATTCACGTCGGTTACTTTGTCTACAAGGACAATCCTCGTGACTCCCGTTTGTATATCGAATACCCAAAGCAATCTTTGATTCCGATTTTGAAAATTGATCTGATCAACATCAATTGTCGTAGAACAACAACCGTTTAAGTTCGTGAAGGCCGACTCAGATTGTTGTTTCAATAACTATTAATTCTTATCTCAATTCCCTCTTAGCAAGATAATCTTGCCAAGTGTGTTCCCAGGAATTCGAATGTACTTTCAATAAGTTAATTCATCCTCCCACACATTTAATCACAACATCATCTTGACCAAAATCAATCTTTAATTTTGAAATCGTTGCTTGTTCAAAGGGTTTTGATGAGGTTGCCGAATTGCAAAATTAGTGTTCCAAGATGTGAGGGAAAACGATGGAACAGTTACTTCCACACGTAATCGTTACATCTTCTAAGGGTGCAGGTGAGGTTTCCGAAGTGCAATGTTTGACAATGGAGTGTCTTGAAAAGAAGGGGAACTTGAATAATTGTATCGCTTCATGTTATTGATCCAAGGGAATATACTACTTATGTCAAAGACTAAATCTTCAAGAATGTCAATTCGAGAAAGTGTTTGATAGAATGTTGCAGGTTGCTTCTGATCGGAAGCTGAAGCAAGATCAGATGATGGAGGTTTTCGTTTTCAGAGGCATGGAATTCAATGAAGCATATGACCCTCATCCGATAAGAACCGCATAGAACGGTTCATCATATTGGGATACCGACAGTGGAGAAGACAACATGCATGCTTGAGGACGATGGCCGGTACACAATAACCGAGGTGGAGGAAAAGAAACTCGAAAAGAACGTCTGAAAACAACACCAAAATCATGGGAATCAACGTACACGTAAGAAATTTCAAGAGCTTTTGATATGCGAGAGATTGTGTTTTGGAATCTCAAAAGCTCACATTGAATATCTGTCCCAGGCTCATGCAAATCAAAGATCAAAGTTAACAATTTACTGTGTTTGGAAATGCAAAGCCAATAAGTTAAAAGTAAAGATACATTAAATAAAAAAATCTTCTCTTATCCAAAACCAGTTCAACTATTTCTTTTCTACCCCCACCAGCCTTAAGCTTTCTACTAGTAGTTTCTTTAGCTGTCTTCTCAGGTTCCTGTCACGACAATGAGGAAAAATTCATGTAAGCCGCAAAACCAATGCATAATCAACTCCCGAATTCAAATTGTAGAGAAAGAGAGTAATAACACTATTGTCGTGATCGAGTAATTAAATAAATAATTTAACAAGTGACACCACAAAACAAATACAATTATGGCCTACATCCCAAGAGAAGAATGGGAAAAAAAACTAAAACACATGGAATGAAAAAATAATACGAAAGAAACATGAATTATTAACAGGTAAAATTTGCTCCAACACGATTTCTTAGAAGTGCCGAGGCCTATATAACACCTTTAACAAAACATTATAAAAAAAATACATAAATATAATGATTGCCAAGTCCAGTTTCCAGTTTCATGAGCAAAGCAGAGACACCTCTTGAAAATATCACTGAGCGCTTGAAATGCAACCCCACTGGTGGCTTTCTATCAATACCATTGGGATTGGAACGATTACAAACTAGTGGACAAAATATCTTAGAGCTTAGCATTGGTTAAGGAAATTAAAGCATGCATTTGGTTCCTTGCAAACAAGTGCACCGAGAAATTATAAAAGGCAACCAATCTAGACGCAAGCATCGAAGAGTGTATTACCTTCCATACTTTCCCCTTTATGAAGATTATCTAACACCTAATATACTTCTCAAAACTTTAAAAACAAAACAAAAACCGACCTTTGGTGCTTTCTTTTTTTCAAATAAAAATCTTACCAAAACCACACATGAGACAAACTAAATTATGAAAGGTCACGCAGTTTAGTTTATTGCAAGTAGACAATATCTGTATGTGCCAAACAAATAACCCATTAATGCAGATTCAAAAAGTAACATGATATATGAGATGCAATCAGTCGAAACAAATAAAAATGTAAATATATCAACCACCAGGTAAGAGAAGAGAACAATAGTGATGGTTAATCAAAATGCATAGTGGAGCTATACCTTCCGTTTAATTGGTGCAGATGTGTTGGCAACTGGATTAAAAAATGACTCTAATCTGGAAAGAGAAGGGTATAAGAGATAGTAAGCATTAGCATAAAAGCTTATAGCATCATTTTATGTAACCACGCTTTACTTACCGGCCCTGTGAGGACTTGTTCTTGGCTGCTTTAATTTTCTCTATTCCCTAATGAACAAAAGAAAACATAATCAAATGATTATAAAAGTTTGAGTTAATAAGAGAGGAAATACCTTCGTCACCCTGTCGATATTGAATCCATTTTCATTAACCAGAAAGGTTATCAACCCCTACAAAAATTGTCAAATTAATGCAGCTGCATTGAACTTGAAATATGGTTACACATTACTCAGAACAATATATGTAATTAGGACAGGGATTACGCACTTCAGTATCTGGAGCACTCCACTTCAGATCAAGTTGCTCATCATCCATGCAGACTAGTGGTTCTTTAAAAAGCCGACGAGCCTCTTCATATGGCCAATCATCAGGTATTGAGTACCTGAATATGGAAAATGTTGTTATTAATGTTAACTAAAATTAGTAAACGAAGAAAAATGTATGAATCATTTCACACCACATATAATCAATCCAGACCTCTCTCTGTTTATGCTCTGAAGTATTTGCTCTATAGAACCATGCTGACGAATAAGCTTCAAAGCTGTCTGTCCGCCAATACCTGGGGATAGCTTCAGAATGAAATCATATACCAAATACAAAACCTAAATTTTAATACATAAAGGTCAGACACTATAAAGGAAACTCCCACATACCTCTAATATTGTCACAATAATCACATCCAGAAAGAATGCACAAGTCAATGAACTGATCCATGGTAAGATTCAGCCCCTCCAGAACCTAACACATCTCCCCCATCAGAAAAGCACACCCAAAATCAATATAGTTCATAAGTAATAAAATGCTTAAAGCACCTTTGCAACATCAAACTCCATGACTGGAACTTTTCTTGAGCTTGGGTCCATTAAATGTCGAAGAAATTTAGGAGTTCCAAAGGTTAAAGAGTCCATGTCCTCAGAAGCCACAGCATAAACCTGATAAATAAGAAGGCGTGATTTCAACCCCTAAAGGTAGTAGGTCATTGAAAATAAATGGTGCAAATACCGGAAATTAAAGTAGGCTGCTTCTTAAAATAGTATTAGAAAAAAAATCAACTTTTTCAACCTCATAAAGGTAAATAGGGTTATTGCATGTCCATTTTCAGGACTGATAAACCCCTAGTAGACAAACAACTTATCATGATCAACTGGACACTTGCCTTTCCAGAATTGCAGAGTGCAGCACATTGGGCCTCTGCTTCAGAAGGAGCCTGTGAAAACAAAAAACACAGCTCTGTAGAATGAATTTATGAAAATCTCACACTCAATGGACTCAAATAGTTGACACTCACATCAATCACAGGCACCCCCATAAGTCTTAAAAGCTGTTTACAGTCTTCATTATGCTGCCTTGTCACCTGCAAACAGTAGAGAGAAATGAAGCAACAACACATTTTGGCACAGTTTTATTTTATCCTGGTCTTATATTTTTAGATCATAACTAAACATCCAGAAATAAATGCCAAAGAAAACAGTGTGTTGTCATATCAATTATCTGGTCTTGGGAGAAAATGGATGAGAAAATAACTTACTTTCACTGTCCGCTTGCTGAATTTTTCAATGTCCTCCTGATTTCCACTCTAATAATAAAATAATAGCAAATTAGTTTGCCTTAGTGGTAAAACAAAAAAAGAAAACTTTACTTATCACTCTGCGTGTGACTGAAGAGAAAATACCTCCCTGGCTTCTTGCAAATCCTCTGTAGCATCTAACCTCTTTGAGTTACTACATAACAAATTTCAAATAAAATCATGAAAAAGCGGCATTCTACTCGTTAAGTTCTGGCAATATTGCAGGGGAGGTGGAAAGCAATAAAAAATTTGTATCAATTGCAACAAAATACCGCTTAGCCAGCTCTTGTTTTTTCAAATCAGGAGGCTGCCCATCAAAAACATAGCTGAAAGAAAATACCATAAGCATTAGCACAAACAAAAGACCTGTGGGATGTAGCACCATACACGCAGCATACGCACATGATGTGCATGAGTTAAAATGACTGACTAATTAACTTCTTTCTAAATAAAGGAAAAGAAAAGGAGAAGAAACACATTACATAGGTTTAAGCCCAGCTTCAAGAAGCCGAATTGTGCGAGTAAACATGCCTTGCAGATGACTAAGGAATAAGCCATGTCAACATTTTATAAGGTAAATAATATTAAACATGACGAGTGAAAAATGTAATTGAAAAGGGAACTGCTAACCATAAATCTGTAAAAAAAATACAGAAAAATTAAAGAATGAAGAGAAAATATATTAAAAACCTGGTAACTTCACCAGCTTCATTGGTGAGCGTTTCACTCCCAACGCGTCCCACCACAATCTACAGTCAACCCAAAATTTAAAATGAAAAATACATTATTAGCTAGTCTTAGCCCTCGAATGGCTATAAAATAGAAAGCTTTGGTTTTCTTAATTTTTTTTCGAGGGG